TCCACAGAACAGAACTCCACGATCAAAATTATACTTTGTTCAAAGTTTAGCTTTTATCGAAGTGATACTCACTCATTTCCGGCGGGGGGAAGGGGCTTGTTTGTAATGTGGATAACCCCATAGCTAGCAATGTACCATGTCAGGTCGACCTCCACGCGGTTCCCCCTGGAAACCATCGTGATAAATTTCCGGTGAATTTGTCACTATGGGCTACCTGACCTGACCTCATCTTATCATCCTCCACTGGTGCCCCGCCATCGTACACCGCTAGCGCAGGCGGGTGCACCATTCCATTATCATCCCTTAAAAATATCCTCGGCGCAGACCATCGTGATTTCGATCCCCTTTTGAATGGGGCAGGATACCAACAGGAGGAAAAAATCAATGTAAAAAGATGAGAGAATATTTCTAAACGAGTTGTAAACCTACGCGAAGTGACTAGGTCGACTTTAATTAACCTATTAAATTAATTGAATAGACCTATGTCGTAATACATAAGTTAGGGCTATAAATCCGGAAATCTAGTTCTATTTTTTTTATTATTTGCCAAAAAAGAATCCGCTTAGCATATTGCTGCAGCCGAAGCTACAGCGCTGATTTTCAGCGGAGCCCTTAGGGTAAATAATAGTACATAAAACAACATTATAGAAAAAAAATTATGGATCCACTTCTATAAATCCGAAAAGTTTGTTTGACTTAACGCATTTATATCTGGAATTACTGATTCGTATTGAAAAAGTCTATTATTTATAGCCAATTTTTCAAGGAAAGCAATTTACCAATGACTTACTCGACACTCTATCACATTTAACATAAGTATCGTTGCTAAGTAACAGTTTGTATGTAACGTGCAACTGTGATCGGAATGAAAGTAAATTATATTTACTGCTATATATGTAATCCACTGAATATCTACATCAAAAACAAGCCCCTCTTCTTAATCTTAAATATTTTTTTATGGATGATAACCGAAATAAAAAGTCTTTTGGTTTATCGCATTTATATCTGGAATTACTGATTCGAAATGAAAAAATCTGCTTTTTATAGCCAAATTTTCAAGGAAAGCAATTTTCTAAAGGCTTACATCGAAACTCCAAAAACAAGTCCTTCTCAATCTTAGATATTTTTTATGGATGATAATGGAATGATGCATTCTACGCTATTGGTTTACGCTGGAGGGACACCAGTGGAGGATAATAAAATGAGCATGAAGTCAGGTCAGTTAGCCCATCTTGGCAAATTGCATTTCGCCACGATGGTTACCACGAAGAACTGCGTTGAGGTCAATCTGACATGGTACATTGCTAGCAATGGGTAAATCCAAGGTATTACATATGTTAGGGTTCACATCGATATTGGCGAAAAATCTGATATTTAATATTAAAAGAAGGTAGTTTCATTATTACTCGGTATCGTTAAACTAGTTGCATATAACCCCCACTCATATCTTCTCTGTATAAATGGGAGGGTTTTTGTAGGCCGCGGCATTCGGTCTTTGAGCTCAGGATGTGCTGGTTGTATTTTAATTGCTAAAGTGAATTGTGTTAGAGACATAGTTAAATTAATGTTATATAGTTGTTATTTTATTATAATACATACTTTTACTAGTACATAGAGTTGATATATCTAACACATATGATAGGACTATTTTAATAGATATTTATCATACAGACCAGATATATTCATATATTCCAAAAAAACTAAACGTGTAATACTGGTAGAGCTTACTGTACGGGTTCACTTGGTATTACTCGGGTTTTCTTTCACATTGATAGGTTTGGGCTATTGTGAGGTGCTTGGACCTGTATCACTGCGACCTAAAGAGATCTATTGTGCTCGCCCTTTTTAAGAATTCGCTACCTAGATTCGTCAGGGACAAGAATTGAAGGATATTCTTAGGAGCGATGGTTTTTATCTCCTCAGGTTATAGTGTAAACTTTCCAAAGGAGATATTTCGTTTATGCACGAGTGGGCTACAACCACATAGGATGTTGCAATTTTGCATTACCCCTGATCAGACTATTTCCTTTTGGCAAAATTGCACTAACGTATGCTGGTGGTCACACTATTCTCCCAAAATTTGAATTTAAAAATGAATCTGCATTTTTGTAAACATGTACAAGTTCATTTGAAAAGATTAAAAGCAGAGTTTCTTGCCAGTACTTCTAAGTTCGGAAACACTCCGAACTGACGATAGATTTGAAATCATAAGAGTCTGTAATAGTCCTACATGAATAAAGACATTTGATTTGTACCATAGGAAATCTATATCTAAAGACCAAGCAATAAAAACAAATACATATAACGAACTAGTAAACGAATTAACAAAAAATGACTATATGATTTCTATGCTATACGGCGGAAGCGAATAAAGTCCCTATTAGGCGGGTGAGATCCAACAGTGTCCTAAAGGCAATTTCTTGTAAAGTAGACTGTCCCATTCTAAGACACTGGGTCCCACCCAATGTCTTAATATGTCAGGTAATATGTTAAAAGATATATTTTTATTTAGTTTCAATTTTTATTTTATATTTTATTACTACATAGGATAATTTATGTCATTAAGCTGTTAGTAACAAAATTAATTTATATACGGACGAAGTGGGAGCAAGAGGTATATCAGCGAAATCTCTCTAGAACCTTCTTAAAGACTTTGGCCTTTTACAACAATTCGCTTCAGTACCTAGTGTGTCGTATCTTCCTTCCAATCCTTTTTTCAATATCCTCACCCATATTTTTACTCCCTTAACAATTTGCTTCAGTACTGTGTCCTATCCTAGCTCCAGTATTCAATATCCTCATCCAATCCCATATTTTCACTCCTTTCCCTCGTTTTGTTCATATTATTATATCCTCTTTCCATTTTGTTCAATTCGCTTCTGTAGTGTTCCATTGGAGTGATGATATCTTCACTCCAGTATTCAATATCCTCATCCAATCCCATATTTTCACTCCTTTTCCACGTTTTGTTTATACTATTATATTCTCTTTTCATTTCGCTTCTGTAGTGTTCCATTGGAGTGATGATATCTTCACTCCAGTATTCAATATCCTCACCCAATCCCATATTTTCACTCCTTTTCCTCGTTTTGTTCATATTGTTGCGAATTTACTATCATCATGCAACAACACCGTTGCCTCGTTACGATGGTACAAGAAGAATAAGCCTGTGATTCGAAAGCGAGTCGCTTTCTTGTGTATCATTTCATCAGTTCATTTTTATTGTAAATATTTCATCAATATAATATATTGTGTACTTAACCTCCAGTTGTGGAAATAGAAATAGAAATAATCTTTTTTCAAATAAACTTAATGTAAGCACTTTTGAATACTCAAGTTTTTTTATTCTACCGCTTATTCGGAATGCAGATTCATCACAAGAAGAATAAGAAAATAAACTTGTATGTTGCTCTATTAAATAAATATTGATTTACTTATATTTAATTAACAACAAGGATTAGGCATGTGACAATCAACATAGAAACCGCTACGCAATTAATCTCTGTTTAATCAGATAACATTGTTAGCGCTATGAATTTTAAGTTAGATATTTTCTACAAAAACCTGAGTTGTCTTCAACTCCCTTCACCATCATTGTCTTCACCTCCCTTACTGGTGCTACTTCTACATGAACACATAACACATCAGCGGCCCTAAATAGTTATATTTTCTTTCCATTTTTGTACACTACTCTATATGTATTTACTATTGTCAGTTGATATATATGTTTTTAAATGTCTTAATTTTTAATGGTTTTCTCAACCTGCCAGTTTTATTTCTGTCTAGCTATAATTTTATATATTTTTAATTCATGCCACACCAGCACAACATTTATTTCCAACACTGTGAAGTAACTGTGATTGTTTTTAAGTTTTTCTATGTTGGGCTAAAAAGGACTTGTATCCAGAGTCGTAAAATATTAATGAATAAAAAAAAGTAAGAAATACTATGACATAGAACGACTACAATGAATGTAGAAGCCCTAAAGCTAATTGCTTTGGAAGGTAGCTATGTTATATATGTAGGTCATGTTACTTAATTAATACTAATTGCTCCCGCGACTTCAGCTCGATCTGTTGATAATAATTACAATATAATCCTTACTAATTGTTGAAAATCGATGTTGTGCAGTCTTAATTATATATTGACAGCGAGATAATAAAATGATACTACATGTTCAGTTTTCAACATGCATTTTTATTGTTACCATTTTTTTTTTCGTTTGTTAGTTTGGTTCGTTAGGAAAGGCAAAGGGAACTGCGCCCATACAGCCATTTATTGTTACCATTTTTTGACATATTTATTTATTTCTCTTTACAAAATTTATGTATACTGCCAGTAACTGTCAATCTGCAACACTAATATTATAAATACGAAAGTAACTCTGTTTGAATGTCTGTCGCGCTTTCACGCCAACTACTGAGCCGATTTAAATGAAATTTGGTACACAGATAGTCTTGACCTTAGAAAAGACATAGGCTAGTTTTTAATCCGAAAAAAGGGTTATTAGGTGTTGAAAGGGGACATTATAGGTTGTATGGGAGTATCGTCGTTTTAAAAGGTAATTGAAACTTATTTTTAGGCTGTTAATAAATATGACATTCAAAGCTTGTGAAAAATTTACCCTTAAATAAAATAGGGGATGAAATTCAATGAACAATTAAACTTTTTCTTAATTTTTTTAGGATATATTTTTTTTTTTCTTTATTTGGCTGAGGTCACTATTCCACGCGGACGAAGTCGCGGGAACTGCTAGTCATCCATAAAAAATCGATTGGATAAAATATTGTTTCTGTATTATTAAATTATTATTTTAATTTTCTTTACATCTCTAGGTCCACGATGCATTCATCCAATCAAAAAATAAAAAAATCTACACATTTTTTGTAAAATAGTACCTAAGAAATGTATTTTTTTGATTCTATTTCGTAACAGTACATATGTATACCAAAAATGGTGTCACTATATTTCGCGCTATAATTTTTTTTTTTAATTCTTACCATTATGTAAATCAGGGGCGCAATTCCATACAGCCTTGTACATAATAATACTTCACAAACACGTTAAGTATTAACTTTATTCTAATACCACTATTAGAACACCAAATGTTAATAAGAAACTAAATGACAAATTAAAATATAATCATATATTTTTTAAACAACTTTTATAATTTTACTTATAATAAAATAACTTTGTAACTGGTTGGAAAACTTAAGAATACCGTCTATTAGGATAAATATTTGATAGTTTTTAAGAACAGTTTGAATTTAGAACGCACTACAAAAACCGACGACCAACTACGGCGCGGTTTCCCGCCATACTATTTTCATTATAATTTTCTGTCAACGAATTTGAATTATCAATATTATTTAATATAAAACTTTTATTACATAGGTAATAAAGACCATTTTCTTGTACTGCAACTGCAAATATAGGATTGTAGAAGTACAAACTTTACTTTATAGCGAAAAACATAGATGTGTTATAAAATTCAACTCTATGGACATGCAATAAAGTTCATTAGTAATTTTGAGAGCGATAATTTGTATGTGGCAAAACAGTATCTCACGTTGAACAAATTTATTAATACAGCCGAACATTTCAATAGACGCTTTATTTTAATTGAGTGTTTTGGTTTACCAATTGCAAACATAAGTTTGTTTCCACTTACGTTCGGTAAACGTTTAGCACGAACCAAGTACCAAGTACTAAGTACGTAATTGAAAACAATGATAACTAACTCTTTAGTCTGAGTGTCACATTAACGTTTAGTCATATTTATTATGATATTAGTAATAAACATAGTAATTGTATTAGAACATGTTACATAGTATAAAATGAAGTAGCTAAGTAGATATGCGGTTTTAATAAATAATAATTTGTTTAACTATGATAATCCGCTTAAATCTTTTAAATTACGAAACGGATTTTTGAATGAATGAATGAAACTCTTTATTGTTCCTCTCAAAGAAAATACAATTATTTATAAAATGATAAAAAAAAAAGACAAAGAGATAACTATTGGCGGCCTTATCGCCAGAAAGCGATCTGTTCCAGGCAACCTTAGGATGGAGAGAGGTGATTAGATTTGTCACTTCAGTCTGTAATAGTATAATGATGGTAACAATATTGGAAGAAATGTTATAAATATACATATAACACAATACAATACAAAATAATGTAATAAACTTACATATACATACATATATATGAATATATACTTGTTACTGGAACTGGGAACACAACTACTATTTTAATAAAAACCAAATACTAGTAAAAATGTGTATTTTTCCCGAAAGGGCTCACAGCGAGAAGGAACAAAACAATAGTTCGTCAAAAGTGACATATAAAAAATAGATATAAAAAATAAAAAGAATGGTAGACAAGATGCCAGTACCATTACTATTGCGATAACTTACGTAAATATGGTTTTTGACGCCTAATTTGAAGCACTGCAGTGATTTTAGTCTTCGAACAGATGTTCTTCTAAAGATCTAAGTTCTTTCTAAAGACGAACAGTTAGCACACTAAACGATTTGTCGTAGAATGTAGTGCTATGTCTTGGTGTCTTTAACTGGAGACTCTCTGACGACCTACGATCAACGCTATTTGAGACATGGAGGAAGATAAACCTTGGTAAACCTTCTTCAGGTAGTGAGGAGTTGAAGGGTTATAAAGAATGTTATGAAGAAGGGTAAGAAGGTGAGTATTCCGTCAAAAATGAATAGGAAGCCACTTGAGTTTAGTGCGAAACTCGGAAATGTGATCTTATTTTCGGTCTCCGAAAATATGATCAAATTTCCGTACTACTCGTAGTGAGGTGTTGAAGGGTTATAAAGAATGTTATGAAGAAGGGTAAGAAGGTGACTATTCCGACGAAAATGAATAGGAAGCCACTTGAGTTTAGTGCGAAACTCGGAAATGTGATCTTATGTTCGGTCTCCGAAAATATGATCAAATTTCAGTACTACTCGTAGTGAGGAGTTGAAGGGTTATAAAGAATGTTATGAAGAAGGGTAAGAAGGTGAGTATTCCGACGAAAGCGAGTGGGAAGCCACTTGAGTTTAGTGCGAAACTCGGAAATGTGATCTTATTTTCGGTCTCCGAAAATATGATCAAATTTCCGTACTACTCGTAGTGAGGAGTTGAAGGGTTATAAAGAATGTTATGAAGAAAGGTAAGAAGGTGAGTATTCCGGCGAAAATTAATGGGAAGCCACTTGAGTTTAGTGCGAAACTCGAAAATGTGATCATATTTTCGGAAACCAAAAATAAGAGATTGAGACAGCGCAATTTTGGTAGCAATAGGCAGGAAATTGCGAAGTCTTGGTAGTAATAATAATAATAATCTCAGGACTATTTACACAGCGCCATCTAGACCCAAGTTAAGCTAGCTAAAGCTTGTGTTATGGGTACTAGATAACTGACTCCTGTGCTGTAAAAAAACATAATTGTAGTGGATAATATTATATATGTATGGATATATACATTTGTATGTCGGTTCTTCATACATGTGCAGAAAGCTATTGTATCTACTCGATAACTATATAAAATAAATCAATGCAAAAAAGTGTAGAATAAAATTGTATATTTTAGTATGACAAAATTAACAACTCAAATATATGTACATTCTTCTTAAAATAAAAACAGTGGCTTTTAAGTGGCCAGCAATACACTATGAAGTCCACAACAATAATGAAAAACATACTCGCAGCAGTAATTGGCTCTGTTGATCTTACTTATTTCATACCAAACGCATTAATTTACGTATTTTTAATTTTCTGATAAAAATATTTTTTTAAATTACATATTAAATTTGATGACACAAAACGCAAAACGTGATGACCTTGACTTTTGACACTTAGTAAAAATGTTGCCTAATATAGCATTTTTTCCTATAAAACAGGATAAATTTAACATGGTTGTTATTATTTTTTTTATTGGGTTGTTTGAGCTATTGTCAGGTGCCTGTATCACCTGTAGCACTGCGACCTACATAGATCTATTGTGCTCACCATTTTACAGAGTTCGCTACATAGGAGCTATGGTTTTTATCTTCTCGGGAAAGAGTGTAAACTTTCCAAAGGAGATATTTCGATTATGCATGAGTGGGCTACCACCACATAGGATGTGTTGTGGCGTTTGCTCTTTAGTTTGGCAAATCTGCAGATCTGCAGTTATTAATTACTTAAAATTATATTAATATACTATGTTTATTTCTCACAGTTTAAGATTCTATTTTTATTTATAATTTTTAATACTACAACTTTTGTTTTTTTATTCTTCTAGGCTCACTTAATACACACGAGTCTATTAATATGCAATTAGAAAATTAGAAAGGCAATATAAAAAGTAATGATAATAAATAATATGTAATTTAATATCAACTATTGTTATACGAGAAGAGTTTTCATATATCTACATTTATGTATAGTATATATATGTTTATATTGCAATAGTGGCAGTCTCCATATTGTGACAACAATAAGATGTTATCGCATAACTTGTAAGTATGTGATTCTGTGTATTTTAATAATTTATAAGATAATATTCAATTAAGAATCGGTTTAAATAGCTATTATTATCTTAATTTTAAAAGGAGTATAAATTTTGGTGTTTAATAACTTAAACATCTTTTGCTTGTATATGAGTAAATGTATTTTAAGGTAATTGAATACAATATTGATTAAATTCTTGTTCTTATATAATACTACGCTATCTTAAGGACTTAAGAATAATGTAAAGACATAATCTTATAAAGTATACTTAAAAAGTAATAATTCAAAAACAAATTCGAAATTCTTTAATAAATAAAGTTAATAATTAATTTTTTTTTAATTCTATACAATTATATTATATAAATAAGTTCCTATACAATTCATTTATAAATGATGTATTTTTTAAATAGAACTAGATATTACAAATTGTATTATGGGATAAGCAGAAATTAAATAGAAAAACAATGACATTTTCAAGGAAATCGTATTTCAACAATGGCAATACACTGTGACGGCCATCGAAGCGCAATCAGTCACGCGAGAAAAAAATCTGAATTTCTGTTTAATAATTTGTTGTTTTAAACCATCAATAAAATTGAAACTATGTTTAATAATCATGGGAGAAGTTTCTATTAGTGTTTATGTGTTGTGTTGTGGCGAAAACGGAGTTTTTACATGAGAAACATGATGATTTCTTTTGTCATACGTTTGGTGTGTTGATAAAAAAAGATCATTTTTTCGTGACGACAGGCCATTAAGGTAGGTAGGTACTTTTTTCTTCACTGTATCGATTAATCCACAGACGGGTTTCCATTTTAAGAACCGTTTATGGCTGTATATACCGAGTTGTTTTGTTTAGATTTAATTTTTTTAACTGTTTACTTTTTATTTTTTTTCTAATGACACGTAGCAAGGCATTGTAAAATGTTACTTCAGTTTTAATTTTTATAAACTTGTTGATGTTATTAAAAAAGTATTGTTTGGACTATTTTTTTGACAATTAAAATTTGGAAAACAATTCAAATAGTTAGTAGAGATCAACTGAAACACATTAATAAATTCTAAATTACTCTAGAAAGTCTTTGATAATTTACGAAAGTATCTTATTTATCGGTTTCCTAAATATATTAATAAATATTTAACTTAATACATATGTAGATAGTCTAGAACAGTCCCAAATATTATTATTATTACACTCAGCGTGCTTGGGCTACATATAAAAAAGTTTTTTTTACATAGTTATATCAACTTTAAGCGAGTACTATTTTATATTATTTTGTTTACTACAAATACAGTGCAGAAAGTTCTAATAGTAATCAAATTCAACCATTATTGAGTCTACACCCGTATTGCGACAGATGTTTTGCCACTATACGAGGCAATAAACATATGTGGTTAATTGTAATTAATTCCATTAAACAAAATAATATAAGTCCAGTAAATAGATGAGGCCTATGTCCAGCAGTGGACGTCTTCCAGGCTGCGATGATGATGATGATGAAATAGATGAGAATGATTTATAATCAAACAGTATAAACTGGTAATCATGGTGATAACAAACACTGATTAGGTTTCTTGTTTTTTGCAATAGCATATGCTGGTGGTCACTCTACTCTCCCAAATTTGAATTTAAATGAATCTGTATTATTGTAAACATGTACATAATTTATTTGAAAAGAATACAAACTGAGTTTCTTGTCAGTTCTTCTCATCGAAATCATTTAGAACTGACAGTAGATTTGACATATCATAAGATTCTGTAATAGACCTACATGAATAAATATATTTTTAATTTGAATTTCACCACTCTGAACTTTCACAAAACATCTTCAGTAGAATAAAATTCCTATGCCACTCTCTATTGGGTTTACTGGAAGAGATCTCTTATAGAGATAAGTCCTCCTTTGTTAACATTAGATGTAATTAATATTCGTAGGAATGTATTTAAGTGCAATAAAGAATATACAAAATAATTTTTGTCACAATCACTAGTAATTATTATCATTTTAATTTACAGAAAAAATGAATACACACACAAGCATAGACTCCATCAAAATTGGTAACATGAATGTAGACATAGATCCATTGAGCACATACGAATATCCTACTTATAGCAGTTACAATAATATACCAAATCCCCATCAATATTCATATGACGTTAAGGTTGAAAATCCTATAAACGAATTCCTCCAATCATTCATGAATGTATCGAACAACGATAATGATGTAAAGTTACCAGAACAGAACCAAGAAAACATAAGTGATAAAGAAGTTATAAAAAATACTATAAATGAAGATGTTAAACCTAATATAGATGTAAAGAGTATAAAAAAAGAAAGAAATGGAAAGAAAAGCAATTATTGGTCTGAAAAAATAACAGATAACACGTTCGCGTTTTACGGATGCGCCGTCTGTAACGTACGTTATACAGCGTTACACGAACTGGACCAGCATGTAACAATACACAAAGATAGAATAACAAGTTATGATTTGAAAATTAAAAACCAATTGAAACGGAAAAAGTTGAAAAAAGAACAGAAAAGACTGAAAAAAATGGGGAAAATCAAAACTGAAGATTTCACTGTCGACATAAAACCGGAGGATGGTTATATTGGTAATGAAAAAGCTTCAGAATTCAATTTTAACGAAAATCCCGATAACGGAATTCCAGGAAATGGTGTAAAAGATAATGGAAACGCAGAAAATGGACAAGTTAACAATAGTGTAGATGGGAGGATAAATACAAATAATGAAAGTTGTGCAAATAGTAATGGAAATAATTCTAGAAGTAATGAAAATGAGAATGGACCAAACGGTAGAGTTAAGCAGCCCAATCTCAATTTAGAGAAGATATATAAGTGTTTTGCATGCCAGAAACAATTTACTTTGAGTTATTACTTGAAGCTACATGTAAGATCACACACAGGTGAGTTTTTACGTTATAAAATATAATTTTACTTCACAAATATACATACTTATACCAATATCACATTATAGCTTTATGGTACAGAGTATACCAATCTATACATCTATACACATAAATAAAATTGAAGTGTCTGTTTGTAATATTGAAATAATCATTTTTTACTACATTCATATATGAATATAAATATGGTACATACACCAAAATGACATTTTTTACAATTTTTATCTGTCTGTTCCGGCTAACCTCTGAAATGGCTGGACCGATTTTGACGGGACTTTTTGGCAGGTAGCTGATGTAATAAGGAGTAACTTAGGCTACTTTTATTTTAGAAAAATAAAGTTAAATTCCATGCGGAGGAAGTCGCGGATACAGCTAGCCATACATAATATTTGGCGACAGTGATTGTGGTGAATACAAAATTAATATTTATTGATATCTAGAACTCAAAATTCTCACACTTTTTTATTTCATATTAATTGAACTTAATTTTCACCTAGGGAATGTAACTGAATGTCCTTCATACAGGTCACTATAATGACCTAGTAAGACACAATGTTATGTCGAGACTTAAATATTATATCTGTTTCTTCTTTTTTTAATAGACTCTGTTTTTTTTTTTGTAATTTATATTGGCTTATAAAATGTGTATGTCTGTATATCTGTTGATTCAAATTCAAATTCAAAAATAATTTATTCATGTAGGACATTTTAGCCGCTTATGAACGTCAAGTTTAGACGTTATATTTTTTTTCCCTACCGTCCAGTTCGGTATATAGATCCAGTTGAGAAGAACTGGCAAGAAACTTAATTGAATTACTTTTTTTTTTACAAGCCAGTTTATTTACAATGTGTATTTATATAGGTGTCTATGTCTAACATTAAATGAAAATTCCGTGCATTTCCAACAACTATTGCCATGCACGCTCGTCATGTTGATGTAAAAATAAATTTAATATCATTATTATTATTTTTTTTTATGTATATATTATATATCTCCCTTTGATGGGGTAATAGACTGATCATTGCGGGTAAAAATCACCAAACAATGACAGTATAAGTTATGAATGATGAGGATGGATAATTTTTAAGTGGAAGACAAAAATTTGCGGACTATTCTACAAGTGTTTAATATTACAGCTTTTTGGAGAAGGATGAAAGTAAGTGTGTGAAGTTGTAATATCTTGAGGCTAGTGTGTAGGGATGCTGGGGTGACACCTGTGGACGAGATAATAATTGGGAGAGTTTATATTCATTTTTTCGGTATTCAATAGTCCTCTTCGTTCGATTACTCTATGTTGATCTCCTACTCTTTGTTTTGTGAATATTATTATTATTATTATTTTATTGTTTTCTACAAATCCTTACTATCTTACTAATATAAAAATGCGAAAGTAACTATCTTTCTGTCTGTCTGTTTCGCTTTCACGCCAAAACTACTGAACCGATTTAAATGAAATTTGGTACACAGGTAGTCTGGACCCTGAGAAAGGACGTAGGCTACTTTTTAATGCAAGAAAAGGGATGTAAGGGGTTGAATGGGGAGATGAAATGTTATATAAAAGTATTGTCATTTTACAGACGGAGTCGCGGGCATATCTAGTATTGTATAATTTTTTAATGGAACGTAATTTATTTTTCAGATGAAAAACCGTACACATGTAGTATATGTGGCCAGTCCTTCATAACGGCGAGCAAACTCGGGAGGCACAACAAGAGAATACATCTGGCCATCCGATACCAGTGCCGAATATGTTATAGGTTTTTTTCTAAGTGAGTTAAAAGTTTACACTTAAAATTAAGTTTGTTGAGACTGCAGGAATCTGTACTGATTATTATGTTTGACATGCTCACATGGCGTTGGCGTTTCTAGCTTTGTTATTAATCTGTACATATAGAATAGAAAATCATTTATTCAAATAAACTTACATTGAAGCACTTTTGAATAGTCATTTTTTTTAATCTACCACTCGTTCGGAAAGCTGTCTCATCACAAGAAGAACGAGCAAGAAACTTGCGTGTTGCTCTTTTAAATAATTTTATTATTACTTTACATTTTTAAGTTTAAGTGTGTGAATACAAACCACCAATTAGCACTAATTCAATTAAATACTCAAATAGAAAAAATATTGAATATATAACCAACTGGTTAAACAATAATAAGAGGAAATCAGTCATAGTGATTAGAGCAGACCAGTCCCTACAAGCAGCACCCGTTCACGAGTATGACGGATGAGCCAGTCATCACTGCGCTCGACCATATTTAGACCATTATTTAAAAATATAATCCTGAACAGAATTTATTTAAATGAGCATCGCGCAATTTTTCGTGAGTCACTTATTCGGGGTTCCACTGTATATCAGCGTCGGGGCTTTTGCCATGGCGTAATGCTGAGATGGGCCCCTTACACTCATCAGTACAGCGGTGACGACGCTCCGCAGTGGTGGATACCCATTTTGTTTCTTTGTTATTATTCAAGTTCACGAGTATGACGGGTGACTTTCTTTGTGCATGACAATGGAATTGCACCTGCGCTAACGGTATACGCTGGCGGGGCACCAGTGGAGGATGATGAGATGAACATGAGGTCAATTCAGTTAGCACATCGTGACAAATTCACTAGGATAATGTCACGATGGTTTCCAGGGGGAACCGCATGGAGGTCAACTTAATATTATGACATTGCTAGAAATAGCGATTACTAGTTCCCATAACTAATAATCCCCCTTCTCCCTTACATTGGGTGAACTGCACTCAACCATAATTTAGGGAGCCCATAACTTTAAAACCCGTTTTAACTTTAAAACGTGTTTTTGTTTTCAGGTTTGAATATTTGACTAGACATTTTGACAAGAAACATCTTGAAGACAAACTGGAGGGGGAACCATACGGTACAGTTAAATTTAACTTTCTTACATAATTAGGAGGTTTTAGGTTCCCGCGACTTCGCCCGCGTGGATTTTAATTTCGTTTTTCTAAAATAAAAGTAGCCTAAGTTACTCCTTATTACATCAGCTACCTGCCAAGAAAGTTCTGTCAAAATCGGTCCCGCCATTTCAGAGTTTAGCCGTAACGAACAGACCGACAGAACAGACAAAAATTGTAAATAAAATTATTTTGGTGTATGTACCGTATTATATATTTATTATATGCATGTAGTAAAAAACGGTTATTTCAATATTACAAACAGACATCCCAATTTTATTTATATGTATATATTGATAATAAATTCATTATCATCTGCCGCCTCCCTTATCCCCTCATTTCTGGTCGTCGTAATATGTTTTTCTCTTACATTCATCTCTGTTCGCAGTCATCTCGTTATTGACTCCCTTTCTTACCATATCATCTTTCACACAGGTATATCATTTGCATATAGGAGAAAACTAAAAAATAACAAACATATAACATATTATGTATTATAGTTTATAAGTATGTTCGCATATGTATTTATTTTTAAACATATTAAAGTTTTTTTTTTCGATTTGAATTTCAAATTTTGTTAATGTACGGCCTACATGAATCTGTTTCCCCAATGCTTGACTGGGAGAAAATGCCTCATTTTTTTTTAAACTACTATGGTAGCAAACAGGCATACGGCCCATCTGATGGTAAATGGTTACCGTAGCCTATGGACGCCTGAAATACCAGGGGTATCACGTGCGCGTTGCGGACCCTTAAGAAACCTTAATATACCCTTCTTGAAAAACCCCATGCTGTAATCTCGTGAGAAAACCACGGCAGGGTGGTGTTAAGTCCGTATAACGCGAAAGTTTGTGCGTATATATTGTCGTTTATTACACGCAAAACTACTGAACGGATTTTGTTGAAACTTTATAATAGTATAGGTTATACATTAAAATGACACAGGATACAAATTTCATGCAGATGAAACTGCGGCCATAGCTAGTTTTATTTATTGGGTTGTTTGGGCTATTGTCAGATGTTTGTATCATCTGTAGCACTGCGACCTACATAGATCTATTGTGCTCGCCCTTTTTCAAAGTTCGCTACCTAGACCCGTCAGGGACAAGAATTGAAGGATATTCTTAGGAGCGATGGTTTTTATCTCCTCAGGATAGAGTGTAAACTTTCCAAAGGAGATATTTCGTTTATGTATGAGTGGGCTACAACCACATAGGATGTGTAGCGGCGTTTCCTCTTCAGTTTGGCAGTATCTGCAGATTTTTGTCGTGCATAGGCCTAGTTTAGCCATATGCTTGTTTAATTTGCAGTGTCCTGCGAGGGCCCTAGTCATCATGCATACGTTTTTAGTCAATAGCAGTAGTCTATTGGAGTATTTGTTCAAGTAGCTATTATAGTTTACCATATATTCCAAATATACATTCTTCTTTCTTCGTTCTTCTTGTGATGAGACAGCTTTCCGAATGAGCGGTAGATTAAAACAAATGTAATGACTATTCAAAGGTGCTTCAATGTAAGTTTATTTGAATAAATGATTTTCTATTCTATTCTACTAAGAGTTACCTACCTTCATTTGTAGATTACAACGCGATATTGCCGTATCTGAAAGAGTTAGAAGAACAATTGAGAGAGAAAGCAGAAGAGACCAAGCCGAAGGCAGAAGACTTGTGGGAGGACTGGCCGCCACCGCCCAGTAACCAATGTAAGTATACCAGTTCCGGAGTAAACTTTGAGAAACAACGAAGTTTTAAGCATGCGTACCTCTGTCACATTTATCAGACTTTGCACAAAGTGATCTGCGTGTGTACCTCAGTCTAACCTATTAGACTTTTAGACTTTATTCAAAGTGATCTGCGTGTGTGCCTCAGTCTACCCTATTAGACTTTTAGACTTTGTTCAAAGTCATCTGTGTGTGAACCTCGGTCTCATCTATTACACTTTGGACAAAGTGGTATGCGTGTGTATCTCAATTACACCTATTAGACATTTAGACTTTCTTTAAAGTCATCTGCGGGTGTGCCTCATTCGCACGTATTTCACTTTATACAAAGTGTTCTCCGTGATACTTCATTCTCATCTATTACACTTTCTACAAAGTCGTATGCGTACAAATTTGTTACTAGACAACTGATATAAATACATAGATACATTTTTTAATCCATTACATAAGATCTGCTTAGCTTGGTTTGGCGCTGTGTGAATTGTCCTGAAATATTGCGATTATTGGATGTACGACTCCCTTATTCCACCAAATTGGCCACACATGATATGTATCTCAAGCGTCACACGATAACGTGATATCCATAGTGCTGTTCATGTATATAGGCGACGGCTTTTCTTTGGGTTTTGGACTATGGTCAAATGCTAAGACCTGTAGCACTACGACCCGTATAGATCTATTGTGCTCGCCCTTTTTTAAAGTTCGTTACCTAGGGAACCTGTAAGGGATAAGAATTGAGGGATATTCTTAGGAGCGATTGTTTTTATCTCCTCGGGAAAGAGTGTAAACTTCCAATAGGAGATATTACATTTATGCATGGGCTATAACCACATAAGATGTGTAGTGGCGTTTCCTCTTCTGCTTGGAAAAATCTGCAGATTGATGTTTCGCCATGTGCTTATTCAGCTTGCAGTATCCAGGGCCCTAGTCAAGATGCATATACTGTTTTTTACTAGAGTTGCCACGAATATTCGGTAACGCTGTCGGCCGAAGCGCCGAATATTCGGCACAAAGGACATGCTTGAGCGCGTAAACAAGAACCAACCGGTCGCAACATGTCTCCCTCGGTGCGGGAAGTTTCCTAGAATTTGTTCAAATGCTGAAAAACTTGTTTCCATTCATCATAATTTACTACTACTAAAAAGAGAGAAAAGTAAAAAAGTCTCTTAGTGACTAAGAGACTTTTTTACTTTTCTCTTAGGAAGTTTTACTTACTAAGGGATTTTAATTTGTTAATAAATACATAGAATATGACGTGTCTTTTTCATGATTTGGTACTCGGTATTCGGCCGAATAGTATGTATTACCTAGCGAATATATTGTATTTTATAACAGAAAACAGCAATTTACAAATATAGTTTATTAATTAGAAATAGTACACATGTCGCAGTAAGTAATAGAAAGAAAAAGACACACAGAGTAGAATATTCCAGAGAGACGGAACAGAGTAGGTTGGTGTTTGTTTAAACGCCTGCACAGATGGCGCTAGTGTTTAGTTACAACAGAATACTAGCCGAATATTCGTGACATCTCTGGTTTTTACTCAATAGTAGACGACAGTTACCACTCACTGTTATATGGACAGCTTGTTTACCATTCTAATTACGGAATTAATAAATTCATTTTCTTTCTATAACAGTCATTTACTATTGAGTGATTAAAAATTAAAATTAATTTTATTCCTTATGTTCCGGACCACCGCTTAAAGATTATGTATAGTCATAGATTGTAGAAATAAGTTCGATTAGAGATAGCAAATTTATAAATAGTACAATTGTTACATAGTAACACCTTAAGAATAGTAGATTTGATAGGGATAAGTTTATAGAGATTTAAGTACTTTATGTTATTATTTACGAAAATGCTTGGATATATAGGATAAGATGACAAATAAATGATTATAATGGTTGTGGTTTCAATCCCCTGAAAATAAATAGGAACAGAATAGAATATAGTATAAGAAATAGATCCCAAAATACATAGGCATAAACTATAAAAAGGGATCTTTTAAAGTATCATTATGTAATCATTTATAGATGTAATTGTAATGTGCGTTGCGCGGCAGCATTCGTTCGACTGACGCGCGACCTCGCTCTCCCGCGCTATATATATATGAGGGGGAAGGGGAGCGAGGTCATATAAAAGGCGCGATCCGCGAAATCGCGAATTATTCCTAAACCGCACGTCGCGCAGCGCACACATCATAATAAAAATGTAAATTAAAGATGGTATTGACGTTTGATGCACAAATTGTAAACACAAAATGTAAGACTGATAAAATATAATAAAAATTATATAAAGGGGTGAGGAGAATAGGGCGGCCAAGGGTCCGCTGGCTAGTAGCCAAAAATCGTATATAAGTAGCGTCCAAAAGCGCTACAAATCATAGCGAATCTGACCTCAGAATAGCGAATCTGACCTCAGAATAGCGAAATAGATCTCTGAAGAGCGAATTCAACCTCTGAATAGCGACATCAACTACTGAAGAAATTCTCCTCGCCTCTGCATTCTGAACCACAAGAACCGTTTTCTCATTTACTGCCCGTCCATCATCGCCATCGTCAAGCATAGTCGTCACAACCCTTTTCACGCATCGTGTCATCGCATCGTGTCACCGTCGCATCAGCATCGTGTAAACGTCCTTCTCAGGACGAATCATCGTGGTGCCTATAAAGAGGCACCTGGTCCTTCACCCGCAACGCGCCCGCGGCGTTGATTGAGGCCCTTCAGGTAGGGAGTGCTTTGAAAAGGGCACTCTCTCACCTCGAGGAGGATAGATTGACGTCCGGGCGTACCAGCGACTCGGTGCCTGCCGACGCGCCTTCCGACTCCCGGGGGCAGCGGCCAGCACATCTGCTGGTCCTTCGAGCCGGATCAAGAAGAATAGAAGACAAAATAGAAGATGCCCGTCACACGAAGCAGAACTGGCAAGATGCAAGAGGAGAAGACAGAAGAGCATCAAACAGATGCAGAACAGGTCCCAGACCCACCGGAGGGAAAACCCGTTCCCTATTCGACATAGCATACCGCCGAGGTCGCCACAAGGGACACAAGACGTCGAAGAAACCGTCGTTCAACAAACAACGGCGCGATCACAGCTCTCCGATAGAGAAAAGGAGAGACAGAAACAAATCGCTATCGCCCGAGAAGAGGTCATTCGCTATCGATTACAGTTGGCGGAGGCCAAGCTAGCCCGACTGGAAGCCTTCGGAGAAGAAGACGAAGAACCGTCGGAACCAGCATCGCAAGACGGCCACAATAGGGTCGTCGAATGGCTCGAGCAGCAGTCCGAGCCACCACCGCCTCCACCAGAAGCACCACCGAATCCACCGAAGAGGCCCACACCGGCGAGAATAGAGGAGCCGCTTCGGGGTACCATAGAAACTCACCAACGATTGGCACCCACAGACACCATTCAAGTTGGTGATCTCGCAACTGCAGTAACCGAAATCGTCAGGGCGACTACATCGTCGCTAGCGGCCGTCGCGCCGCACCCACAAGCGTCAACGTCGGGTCCCCTAGCAGCACAGTATAGAGGGGAACTCACACCGTTCTACGGGGCGCATACAGATTGGCTGGCCTTCAAGGCAGCCTACGAAGAATCTGCGGGGTATCTAACGCCGTCGCAGAACATAGAAAGGCTCCGGAGAGCCTTACGAGGGGAGGCTAGGTCAGCAATGAAGAGCCTCCTAATAGCAAACACGCCGGCCGAAGAGATCATGCACGAGTTGGAGCTCACCTTCGGTCGACCGAACAACATAGCAGAAGTCGAAATAGCAAAGCTGCGGAGTCTTCCACCACCGAAGGACACACCGGGGGAGTTCTGCAGATTCGCCACAGCCGTCAAGAATAGCATCGTGTCATTGAAGACGTTGAAGAAGATCAACTTCCTATACAACCCGGAAGTGGCGAAGTTATTAATAGAAAAACTACCGCCGAACATTCGACATAGGTGGTATGTCTACTGCCAGCAGCAAGCCCACGAAGACGTACCGGATTTAGTACAGTACTACAACTTCGTGAAGATAGAAGCTGAAATTTATAGCGTAAGCGCCGAACCCATGAAGATAGCAAGCATGGACGACAAACCGAAGCCGTCGGAAAGTCGTCGTGTTCAAATCCGTCCGCAGCGAACACATACAGCGAGCAAGACGGACAGCCCACCCCGCCACAAGCCAATGTGTCCCGTGTGCAAATCAAATTCGCACACGGCGGCGCAACAGTGTGAAAAATTCAAGAAAGAAAATAGCTACGGGCGTTGGGAAATAGCGAAGGCGCAACGTCTGTGTTTCCGATGCCTACAATATCGAACACAGACACATAACTGCAAGACGAAGACTTGCGGAATAGATGACTGTCCACGTATGCATCACAAATTGTTGCACTACAGGGCAACGAGCGAGACACAGAAGACAGAGACAGCAACAGTATCGACAGGCGTCTCGCTCACACGTTCACCGCGCAGTTATCTCAAAATACTGCCGGTGAAAATAGTCGGACCGCGGGCCAGCATCGACACTTTCGCCCTCCTCGACGATGGATCTACCGTCACCCTCATAGATGAGGAAATAGCCACAAGAGTCGGCGCGGAGGGGCCGACAGAACCACTGAAAATAGAAGCACTGGCCGGCGCAACGGTTCGAACAAATAGTTCGAGACGCGTAACTCTAACGTTATGCGGACCAGAAGAGGAGTATGAGATCTCCGCCAGGACAATGAAGGGACTCAAACTCGCCAAACAACAAATAGAAGAAAGGGATATCCGACGATGTCAACACCTGGCTGGCATCAAGAAGATACTGTGTTACCACGACGCCACACCAACGATCCTCATCGGCCAAGACAATTGGGAACTGTTACTGGCCATAGAAGTTCGCCGAGGATCCTCGTCACAACCAGTCGCATCGAAAACTCCGCTAGGGTGGGTGCTGCATGGAGCGTCCACTCGCAGTCTCGGCCATCAAGTCCACCATGTATATCAC